AATTTTGTGAATAATTAGCTAAATTTAATTAACTATTCTGCTAATTTAATTCATAATTTACCAATTATTAGTGAAAAATGTTCACTTTTTGGGTATTGTATATTGTATTGCATATCAGTTTTGTATAAATTAGAATAGATATATGCGAGTGGGCTAACATGGGTTGGTTTATGCAGAATGTGGGGAGTTTGGAGAAAATAACTCCGCCAATTTGGGTCCTAGTATATGACAATGAATACATAATTAATTATTTTTAATAATTATAGACTGATATCACAAATACTGGGCGCCCGGAGGGAAGTAAAGGGGCGGTTAGTGTCCGTTTGGTAGTGAATGGTGTGTCGGTGTGTATAGTGAACAGCCATTTCCACCCACACGACGAATATCTGGAGCAACGTATAGCTAATTATAACGATATCGTCGATAGACAAGACATTTTAACCCACGAGTAAATAGTTAACTACAATTATAATTATAATTTATAATATATAATATATCTGGTAATGCAAAACAAAACCAACATTTTAGATTAATTGTAAATTGAAAGCTTTTATCCATTGATCACGAGTTTAATAAAAAAAATCGTAGACATTGGATAAAGCTTTTTGCTATTAAATAATCTAAATGTGGGCTTGTTTTGTTAATACAAAATATTGATTTTAAAAATTAATTTTATACCCGGATCAGTTGCGTACTATGGATGGGTGACCTGAACTTTCGCATCGACGATATGACTGCCGATGAGGTCCATGACATTGTGCTAAACCGACGGCATTCGGGCGATAGTTTTGCCGCTCTATTAGCAAAAGACCAGGTTTTTGATTAAACGCGAAATCTTTGCGTTTTCTAAATATATTTTAATTTTTAGTTATTACGTGTTAGACGGGAGGGCCGTGCGTTTAGTGAATTCAGCGAGGCTGTACCTACATTCGCACCCACCTATAAATTTGTCGCTAACTCTAATGAATATGATTATAAGTATGTATTTTTAGTCTCTCTCTCTCTCTCTCTCTCTCTCTCTCTCT